ATAGTTGGATCATGCCTTTGAAGCCATGGAAGACCTAGGATGACTGGGTACTTCATTGGTATAACATCTAAAGAGATGGTGTCTGAAAATGTTCATTTTCCTAGGGGAATCTCAAGTTTGAGTACTGGGGTGTTGCAGGTAATGGAACCTGAACTGATAGGAGTTCCATCAATGACTCGGAGCAACTCTGGAGTGCGTTTGGGAATTGTAGGTAACTGGTGTGTCAAGATGAGGTCTTGAGATATAAAGTTGCCTGTTGCCCCTGAGTCTATCATAGCCCTTGTAGATAACACCTGTTGTTTGAAATGGAGTTGAATAGGGATTAACAGGTGTGTGAAACTCTGAGAAAGCACCATCGACACATCTTTGTTGTCTAGGGGAGAAGTTGTAGTCTCAGTTGAAGTTGTGCCTGGTGGGGACTTTTCAAGTTTTTCAGGAATAGCAGCTGTGACTGTGTCTGAGGCTGCTATATGTTTTGAATCAGCACTCCCCCGTGCTGAATAGCACTCCTGAATTCTGTGCCCCCCTTTGCCACAGTATAAACAAAGGTTGTTGTCCATTCTGTGTTTTCTTTCTTGAGGAGTAAGTTTACCCCTTTTCAGTTTTTGAGGGCTTCTTGTAGGCTGAGGTGCTGGATTTGCTGTAGATCTCTTTATAGAGGCGTCTAAGTCCATAGGTTCAGGTGCTGAGTCCTTAGCAGTTGGTGTAGAGGTGTAATTGTTGAAATTTCTTGTTGGATGCCAGTTGTAACGCTGACTTCTAAACGATAGAAGACACAGAGGTTCTCTTGCGTAAAGGTTTACTTATCAGAGGAGGCAGGGGATCAGACACAAAGGCTTCAAGTAACACGTTACTAGTATATAACAAATACTGTATTGAGTTGAGCACGAAGCTCCTATCTAAGGAAATACTATCTACTTATATAGTGGCGTCGTGCCTAGTGGACTCTTGGGAACTCACTCGAGTCCTCGGAGTCCTGGACTCTTAGGACTCTTCTCATCATCCTGCGAGTCCGTCACGTGCCTAGTGGACTCCTGGGAACTCACTCGAGTCCTCAGAGTCCTGGACTCTTAGGACTCTTCTCATCATCCTGCGAGTCCGTCACGTGATACTTTCGGAACTACTATTCCCCGCTGCCCCTCCAGGTACCAGGGCCGGTCTCATGCGACCTCCCTCCTTCCTGTCCTGTAGTTGGCCAGCCTTCTTGTTCCGTCGTAACACCAGTCTTGGTTCTTCTCCTTTCTTCTTTCAAAAAGCCTATCATCAAGTCTGACAGCTTTCTCTATAAGCGTTTGAAGTGTTGTAGGGCGTTCTTCTTTGCTGAGTTCATCCTTAATAGAGCTCTTGAGCCCTTGGTAGTAAGTGAAGACTAAGGCTTCTTCATTCCAAGTCAAGTAAGAAGTGATTCTCCTAAATTCTGTTGTATACTGAGCAGCAGAGGTCTTTTGACATAGCTTCTGTAGCTCTCTTTCTGCTGTAGCAGTTTCGTTGATGTCTCCAAAGGTCCTGGTAAGTTCCTCTTGAAACTGGTCATAAGAGGTAATCAAAGGTGTAGTGGTATTTTGGTTGTTTCCACTAAGTCTTCTAAGATATGGCTCAAAGAAGTTGAATGCAGATCCACGGAGGTAGCTGGCAGCAAAATAGATCTGTCTGAGGTGAACTGATGAGGCCTGAGGGTGAAGTAGATGTCCAGTTGCATAAGAAATCCCTTCAACTTCCTCCTGTCTCCATGGTATAAATCTAGAGTTTGCACTTTAGGAAGTGCACCTGGGGTACTCGACATAGCCAGAGGAGCTGTGGGAAGCTCTGTATAATGTGTCTGAGTTGAAGATTGTGTTGCTGAAGTGTTGGCTTGAAAGGTGTTTTCTAAATTCTCAAGTTTGTTTGCTATAGTTTGTATAAAGGCAAACAGTTGTTGCATCTGCTGTTCAGCAGTAGTTGTAGGAGCTTAGTCATCCTCCATTGTAGTATCGAAGTGCTGCTATAGAAATAGTTGAAGCTTGAAGCAGACAAGGTGTAATGGTGGGTGCACCAGATGTGAGAATCTAGCCACCCAGGGGAAGGGGTGATTTTACTAAGACAACACACTGTCTTAGGAAACAGAGCCAAAGGGTTGTAGCTTAGACTATTTCACAAAGCAGACAAACAGTAAATCTAATATCACATACTTCCACGTTTCCAAGCTTCCAAGCATTGATCTTGTTACTCCTTGTTTCTGAAAAGTCTCAAGATTTGTTACAACTTGTCTAAACCACTTGTCATACTGACATTCGTTGCACTCAGTTTGCTATCAAACTCAAGAGCAAACTTGGAAATCTCCTCCTCAAACCTACAAGTCACTATACATATTTTGGCTTATCACACCAACAACAAGAGCAATACTACTCAACGATTGCTACAACCATCTATGATTCATTACACGTCATCGCTCCTTAGTTACTGGGCCGATATTACCACATAGCATATCTCTACAACCCTCTATGATTCATTACATGACATCACTCATACTACCACATGACATATCTCTACCAACTAGAGGCCTAGGAGCATGAACAATAGCTCTCAAAGCTCCTACGAACCTCTATGATTCATTACATGTCATCGCTCTTTAGTTACCCACAAGATTGGTTAAGTTATGACATAATTTGTCTATGACATAATTTGTCTATGACATAATTTGTCTATAGGGGTACTCTGACCTTGGACCTCCTTTTACTTCCTATAGGCTACGAACCTAAGAGATGGTTCTATGGGATTCTCTTACATCGACTACAGTTACCAAGCCTGGTTAGTCATGGAAAGTCTTGGAAAATGAGAGAACTACACTCCTTTAGCATAAATAGGATTGCCCTTTCCTTAAGAAAGGGCAAGCAGACAATAAAGTAAATCGACTATCACATACTTCCACGTCTTTTCCAAGCTTCCAAGCATTGATCCTGTTACTCCTTGTTTCTGAAAAGTCAGTGAGGTGTTAACCTCTGACTTACCCCTGAGTTCCCAGACTCAACATTTGTTGCAACTTGTCTGAACCACTTCACTACATCACACACCTGATTGCTGCGTTGTGGAATAGTCTAAGCTACGACCCTTTGGCTCTGTTTTCTAAGACAGTGTGTTGTCTTAGTAAATTCATCCCTTCCTTGGGTGGCTAGATTCTCACATCTGGTGCACCCACCATTACAGGAACCCCGTGAGTCATTCCCTCAAATACCCGAAACCCATCCGACTCGGTTAACCCACCCAAATGATTACACGTGACCAAGGGGAACCCCGTGAGTCAATTCCCTCACGTACCCGAAACCCATCTGACTCGGTTAGCCCCCCCAAATGATCACTTGTGACCTGCAGCTCCTCAGAGTCTGCTCCTTAGAGTGAGAGACAAGAAGGCATCCTTACAATGGATAACATTACATATCAAGGATATTATGTTATCCATGACCAAATACGACATCTCATTGGCAACCTCTTGATTAGGGAATATTGCAAGCTTGAAACTTAGGTATCGAAAACAATGGATTAATTACATGTTGCGCCAGCTCAAGGCCAATAAGAACCCTAATAAAATAGTTAATATTCTAAAAGTGATACAGTGGAGTCGACTTACATGGGAAGCACTTGAAGCTCCAAAAATCCAGAAGTGTTAGTGGCGATTGACTCTTATAAAAAAACCAAAAAATATGGATATGCATCAAGATAATACTACTAAGGTTGAGGAACTGGGAATGGAAATTGTGAGGCTACTAGGTGATGTCATGCCAATTGCAGATTTTGTCAACCCTATAGGCGAAGAGATAGTTGACAGAGATGAAGATATTTTTGAAGCTGTAGTACAGAGATACACTATTACAGAGGAGGATGCGATTGCAGACAGGGATGAGGAAGGGGAAGAGGAAGAGGTCCGATCATCACTTGCAGAAGCAAGCTAGGCCCTAAATACCCTTTAATTATTTGCTTCCTCGCTAAAGATAGAGGTCGGATTTCAGTAATAAAGGCATTAGAACAGATTGGCAAGGGTATCTCGCAAGAGAAAGTCGTGAAGAGTACCCAACGTTTACTAGATGGCTGGGTGTCAAAGTAGCATACAATTTTTTAATTTTTTTTTTACATATATTCCTCAGATTTCCGTGAACCTCCACAAGGATATCCTCGCTATAAGGATGCCACGCCCGCCCCGAGGGCATCCTTATATCCAGGTTCAACTGTATATCCAAATACTATAGACGATACACGAAGATCACGAGCAAGAGCGCAATTCGAAGACGTTTGTAGAACGTACTAAAAGCGAGAGTGTCATCTTGATACAGAGCATATCGACCGTGAAACAGCTCTTGCGGAAGCAATAGGTGCTACTAATACAATAGAGCAAGAACCTGATTCTAACGAAGACCTATTTGCGTCAGAGGGCTTAGCATTTCAGGAGTCAGAATGGAGGCGGTGGATGCTTGAACTACGGCCTAGTGAGCATACTAATATCCTCAAATATTGGTGCGCAAAGCAATACCAATATCCAGTTATTGCCTGTATTGCTCGTGACCATTTAGCAATTCCAGCAACATCCGCAGCATCAGAACAGGTATTTAGTAATGGTAGTGATATTATTAAATAAAAGCGGAATAGGTTATCACCGCTGACGATTAGATATTTACTTTGCTTACGGAATTGGGGTCGGATATAAGAGGCTGACAGTGATGGCGATGATGCTGACGATGAGGCATACGAATAGGGGCACACGAATAGGGGTTGTTAGGTTATGTTAGGTTATTACTATTACCAAAAGCTTCATTTTTATATACTCCATTTAGCCTCATATACCCGTAAGAAATTGGCCGGGTATATACCCTACCCATGGGAATCACGGATACTACCCGGATACATATCCGCCGAACACTGCGGGTAACATGGGCCGCGCACTATTTAGATCCAAAAGGACGGAGAGAAGTAACCAGAATCTACATACAATCTAGCCATCTATCAATTTTATTTTGTAAATATGAATTAATTCCTAAGCTATAAATATCTACCTAATCTGCAAGCCATCCGCTATCATCCCTCCCGAAATAGCCCAAAAACTTCCATCAAGCCGCAAAATAGGTGCTTCCCGTACTTTCCTTCATTCGTGTCACCACCCACTCGAGTTCTATTTCCTCCGCTGGATATCATGAAAAAAAAACAGACGCACACACCACCCTCGCAAAACGAGTGACTACGCTTCGAATAAACGCCCACAAACCAACCAAACGCGTCACCAACGCCAGTCCGTATTCACCAGGGACGACCCCACAAAACTAATACGGCGAATTAACAACGTCGTCCCGGCCGAGCTTGTATCTCCCGCTTCCAGGAACCTGAATCCTGCCGCTGCTTCTCATCGAGTCCCTCACAGGCGTCATCATAATGCTCTCTCGAGTCGGCTTCTTGAACTGCCCCTTTGCGACCATGTTAACCTCGTTCGGCAGCGCCACAATCACGTTCTTGTCGCTTCCATAGCGGAAGTTGTCGGCCTTGACCTCCTCCGCATAGCGCTTGATAGTGTACGGGTCCTTGCGTCCAGCAAGTACCTTCTTCATGTTCCAGGTGACGATGAATGGTCCCGTTGCGCTGATGATAGATGTCTCGCTGGTGCCTTCACCCGTGTTGAACTTGGCAGGTGTGAAGGACAGCGGCGCACCAGTCTCGTGCTGGAATTGCGCAACGTGGTTGGGGGTTAGACCAAGACGGCGTGGTTGTGGCTTTGAGTCCTTTCCGAACGCCTTCTCGAAACCAAGCTTGCCCTCGTTCTTGCCCTCTTTCTGGAGCGCGTCAACGAGAAGGAGGTATGTACGACAGGTCGCGAGGATCCAGCGGCCGTCGGCGGAGACGTCGAGTCCGATGATGGGCTCTCCGAGAGCGGGGATGTGGGTCTTGGCGTTGATACCAAGACGATCGAACATGCGGATATCACCCTTATTGGACGCAACAGCGATGTATCCCTTCTCGGTGGTGGCCGCAGCAGAGAAGTCGTTCTTCGACACGTACTGCTTCAGTGAGTCATCGACAAGTTTTGAGCCTGCCAGGCGGGGATCGATGCGGTACAGGGCGTTCTTCGACAGTCCAAGGAAGGTTTGTTGGCCAGTCATCTGAGCAAATTTGTTTTCGGGAGCGAAAGTGTTGACTGGTATATCGTCATGCACCTTCCACTCGTCTACAATTTTGCCGTACTCAAGATCCATGCGGTACAGAGAGTTGGGGTCGGTTTCATTTTGGAGAATCATGCTCGTATCCTCAGAGTGCAACATAACCTTCTTCGGACTGAAAAGTTTACCCTTAGGTGTTTGGACCTTCGAGATGTTCGTCGAGAATTCAAGATGGTTATTAGGAGTGTGTTTGAAAACACCAATCTTCGATCCGCGAACGACGAACGAGCGATCGTGTTTATAACCGACGGCAAGCTGGGAATTGACATTTCCATCTTTCTCATGGGTTTCAACGTCGTCATTCTCCTCATCACTGTCGTAATGCTCGCTCTGCTGTCCATCAGAGACATCCTCCTCCTCTTCCTCCACAGGTGTTTCTTCTTCTTCTTCTTCTTCGGCCTCATCCTGCGCATCTGTCATCTCCAAATCCTGGAAAGCACTCGTAATGTACTCCTGATCCTGCTCCTTTTGCCTGTTCCACTTCAACTCGTTCAGCTGCTCCCAGAGGGCCTGCATCAACCCCTCCTGGAATCTGGTGATGGTTTCGGTATTCTTAAATCGGAGGAGCCATGAGTATGCAGATCCATTCTCGGTGAAATGATTGAAAATGAACGACAAATACTCAAAATTGAAAACGGGGTTGATATCGGCAACGACGGACTGGCCCAACCAGGTCTTGTCTTTACCGGTGATCTCAAGCCAGTATTCCCATTGGCCAACCTCTGAAACGATTGCCGTGACTTCGTCATCTTGCAGTATAAATGAGCCCGAAGTGAAGTCGAAAAGATGAAGCTCAGCTCCCTCCTTAGCAAGTACCTCAAGTGCAACCCTCTGCTGCGACGCTTGTGGTGCCTGAGTAGGAACTGGAGTTTGAGGAGCCTGAGCCAGAGGAGACATTTTCCGTTGTTTCACCGGCGTCTGATCACGCTTTGCGGCCACATTGGCGTTCGCTCTGGGCACAGAGGGCGGAGGCATGCTCTTATCCACGCTAAGCTCTTGGTGGGCGTGAATAGGGCTAGCACTCGGGATGGCCTGTTCCTCCTCAAAGTAAAAGCTGTCTAAGTCTTCCTCGGTTGCCTGAGTATGGTTCCTCCTCCACTTGCGCTCGTACTGGCACTGGCGGGCGATAAACTCGAATTGCTCAACCAGATCAGCACCAACGGAGTGGTCACAGACGAACTCGTAGAGGTCCCCCGTATCGCCCGAAAGGTCGCGCCACGCTAGGACGTGCTCCTCGCCGTCGCGGATCTCGGTGCGGAAGTGCAGCCCCTCGTCCAGGAGGAAGGTCTTCTCGTCGCGCTCAGCTGATAAGGCGCTGTCCTCCTCGTCGTCGGCGTCCTCGTCTCCCAGCTCCTCCTCGCCCTCCTCGTAGGCGCGCTGGATCACGAGCTGGTATTGGAACTCCTGCCCCGTCTTGCGAATGCGAGCGGCGGCGTCCTTGAAGATGAGTTCGGAGTAGCCCTTGGGTGACAGCGGGCGGACGAGGTAAAGTTGGCCCTGGGGAAGCTCTATTATAGATTCCTTCGAAGTATCGCCGAAGATCAACTTCCCAACTGTAGATGAGTTAGTTTGTGGAGCTGGAGGCTGGTGCGACGTCCGCTCAAAACAAGAAATTTAGGCAAAGGAGGGGCATGGTGGTGGGGTCAAGATCAACGTACCATTCCGAAGTACAAACATTCTGATAAAGAATGGGCGCAAGAAGCTGAAAGTTCTGGGTGTGAATATTGGAGTCTCCTCAGAACAAATATTTGCCAATCTCTTGCCAAAGGCTACGACAAATGTGTTGTATTTTCTGCGTTTGCGCGCCAGGGACAATATTTAGAGTTGGGGAAAGGAACAAACAGGCGTCATTCTTTTATGTTTGTGGCTGATCACCTATTAACGAGTAGCTTTGCGCCACAGAACAAAGACAGGTCATGTGACTCAGAAGTCGCCACCTCCTCGGCCAATCAGAAACGAGCTTCATCGCCGTGAGCCAACCAGCGAGAGAAATTTTTGAGAATTTGAGATGCTTCCAGTATGTACGCTGGAAAAGATGCTCAGTGAGCCAGTGGCAATAAATAGGCTCCTTATATTTGGGACAAAAGCACAGGTTTTCAGTCTTTGGCATCCATCATATTCATATTTATTTTCGCTCCACGCAGTTCATAACACAAGAGTATCCCAAGCAACCCAAAGCCAGCCCATATACTCCACCCTCCAATCTTCGTAAACCCACGCAATGCAAACCCAGATCGCCTATAATCGTCTCTATACTTCACTCCCTCCTCAGTTCTCCTCCGCCTTATCTTCCTTCTCGTCCTTGCCCACCACCACATCCTTAACAACCTTCCCAACACTCTCCAGCTTCTCCCTAAAGGGAACCGCGGGCAACTTCCCCTCCTCCAGCTCCTTCGCCTTCTTCTTCTCCGCCGCAATGGAGATGCGATTCAGCTCTCCCACGAAGCTCTCGCCCCACCACGCACTCGTATACTTAAACACATACGACTCGAGCTTCTTGAAGTTGTTGAGCCGTTGCTCAGCATCCATCGTAACAGAGTCGTAGATCGCCTTCGCGAGCTCCTCGGTGTTCCATGGGTTGACGACGAGAGCGCCATTCAGAGACTGCGCGGCGCCGGTGAACTCGGAGAGGATCAGGGCACCGTGGCGCTCGCGCTGCGTGGCGATGTACTCGTAGGAAACGAGGTTCATGCCGTCACGGGTGGAGGAGACGAGGCAGACGTCGGAGACGGCATATAGGGCGGTGAGCTCGTCGAAGGCTACGGATTGATGGAGGAAGTGGATGGGCATGAATTCGATTGTGCCTTAGGTGTATGTTAGTAGGTTGCTACAGTATATATGACATGTTCGTGCTTACCAAATTTGCCATTAATTCTTCCGACAAGTTCGTTGACAACAGCGCGAAGATTCTGGTATTCCTCTACGTCTTCTCTGCTGGGGACGGCCACTTGGATCAGGACCACCTTGCCAACCCACTCCGGGTTCTCAGTCAAGAAGACCTCCAGGGCATGCAGTTTCTGCGGTACACCCTTGATGTAATCCAAACGATCAACTCCAACGATAAGCTTCACGCCTTCAAACTTCTTCTTGAGGGCGTTGATTCGGTCAATAACCTTTGGCTTCTTCAAGCCTTCCACAAACTTATCCGGGTCAATTCCAATAGGGAACGCGCCCACCGTCACGTATTTCCCGCCATACTCGACTCCGTTAGGTGTCGTGCCCACTTCCAGTATCCTCGCACAACTGCTGAGGAAATGTCTGGCGTAGTCATAGGTATGGAAGCCAATCAAGTCACACTGCAGCACGCCCATAAGCAGCTGCTCTCTCACTGGCAGAATTCTGTATATCTCGCTCGATGGGAACGGCGTGTGCAGGAAGAATCCAATCTTGACGTTCTTCCTGGTGTCGCCGATTTCCTCGCGCAGCATCTCGGGGAGGAGCATGAGATGGTAGTCGTGGACCCAGATCATGTCGCCGTCCTGTACGTCTTTGGCCATGGTCTTGGCGAAGAGGCGGTTCACTTGCTTATACGCTGACCAGGCGGATTCGTCAAATGTGATTTCTCCGGGGTGGTAATGGAAGAGCGGCCACAGGATGGAGTCTACAGATATATCAGCATGTAATCCTTAAGTCATAGGCATTGTACTTACTTGAAAAGCCGTTGTAATGGCGATCTGCGAGCTCATCGTCAACAAATATGGGCGTCGCGCCGTACTCGTCCCTCAGACGAGTAGTCAAGTCCTCGACCTCTGCCTCTGGGACCTCCAGCCCAGGCCATCCGTACCATTGGAACTTGGTCGTCTTTGCCAAGCCACTGAGACCAGTGACCAGGCCACCAGAGGACATACTGAAGCTGTAAGTTCCATCGTCGGAGCGCTTGATGGTGATGGGCAGGCGGTTGGAGACGAGGAGAAGGCGTCCGGAGCCGTCCTTCGTGGGTTGCACGGCACCGCGCATTTTAACAGGAGATGAGATGTATTAGTCGTTGTTATATCGACGTTTGGGGAGCTTGCGCTGAAGTGTTCTGCTGTCGTTGAAATCCTATGCAGCTCAAACACAGGCCCAGTCGCTCGTTGGAGGTGCAAACAAAGCCCAAGACAGGTACTTGGCGGGGTAACAAAATATAGTAAGCCGCGAATTGCCTCAGCAAGTCATCAAGTATAAGCCGATCTCTTGCTATTGCAAAGAAGGTAAAATACGTCGAAAGTGACAGGAAGTGTTTCGTTTTCCAAGTTGCGGCGCAAAGGGTATGATGATGTAGTTTCGTCCCGAACCGCAAATCAGCCCAATCGGAGCCACGGAATCGAAAACGGACGGAGGAGGGAGGGGCAGGCAGCCAAAACCCGCCTTGCGCATTCGAACTCGGCCCACCAGCCCAGCCCGGCCAATTACCGCCAAGGGCTACAGTAACTTACAGCAACGCAACAGCAACGCAACAGCAACCAAGAGAGGGAAAAGGGATCTGGAAAATGGCCCCAGGCAATTCCGAGGATTCAAGGTTCGTGAGAGAGAGGCATTCATAACAATTAAAAGCCGCAAGTTTCATGGTTCCATACAGACGCTGCTCCGACTCCATAATCTGATCTGAGCACGGACTTGGCGCCAATTGGGGGGTGAAAGATTGTCCATTCGGCCCGCACAGCCATTCATCCATGAATGCGGAGACAATTATATATATCGCGACGAGAAATTCTCGCGGGTGTTTTAGGGGATACCTCTCCAATGCAACATGCTATTGTAACCATCGTAAGTTTCATAATTCGTGTACACCCATCCTACAGCCACAGCAAAGCCAAACAGCCATCCTCACAATCACCTCCTCCTTCCAAACTTCCCTCCAACCCTTCCCCCTTTCGCTCCCGAATTCTTCAGCTTCATCCTCTTGTAATTCGTATGCACCTGTGCCCCAATCTTCTGCCTGCGTCCTGTAGTCTTCTGTTTGCTCCTCTTGTATCTCGTCCCTCCTTCTGAGGCAGTGTACTGTGTGCTGTTATCCGAGCCCGAGTCAAAGTTACGGACGGCTTTGTAAAGAGGTAGCGAGTCTGCTTCAAAGCCTTCCTGCGTATCGGGGACGAGATCTGGGTTCTGAGTGTCCCCGCCTTGCGTATCATCCTGCCCAGCATCGTACTCGTCATCTTCATCATCGGAGCAAGTCGTAGGAGCAGCCTCTTGAGCTGGCGCTTTAGCCCTCGAAGGCCGAATATTGACCTTCCGCGTCGTCCTCTTCTGGCCCTTCTTCTTGTAAACAGGAAGTTTGCTATCCCTATCCGCAATCGCCTGCTCCCTCTCCCCCAGCTCATCATCCTCATCCTTGCCATCGTTATTGAAATCCAGATCCGGGAAGTCGATAAAGGGGAAATCGGTAAGCTGCTGACTATCCCTGACCTGAACGCTTTCTTGTAGTTTCGGCGCTTGAGGTTTGGGTAATACCTGCTTCGGGGCAGCATTCGGAGGTGGCGGGCCACTCTCCATCTCCCGGAGTGCATCAAGATCATCATCCAGCGCTTCCTCTTGCATCTCCCTCAGACTCGCCAGCATGCTGCTCAACCCCCTAACAAGCGACCTCTTCGGCATTCTTGGTGCCGGTGGGGATAACGCATCCGCAGAATCTTCAATTATAGCCGGAAGCGCAGCGATCCTGTTATCCCGCCGCAAAAACGAAGGCGTAGAGAGATTCAGCTTCGACACAGAACTAGGCGTTAACGATGCCTGTCTGACGCTACCCTCATTGCTCCCCCTCCGGCGCTTCAATGGCGTCACAAATGTATCCAGCAAGAAGCGCTTACTGCTCGACAGCGGCGTCCTCGAATGCCTCGCCGCGCTCGGCGTAGCCACGATCCCGCCATCGGCATCTTTCGATTTCCGCGGGGTCTCTTGGATGCTTGGGGCGTCGGTGGGAGCGGCCGGCTGCTTCAACGGCGAGACTTCGTCGCCGCTAGGCACGGCGTCGAAGATGCCGAGGAACTTGCCATCTTTCTGCGGCGTGGGTCCGATGACACGGGGCTTTTGGGGAGTGAAGAGGAGGCGGTTCGCTGAGGGTGTGTCGAATGGGCCGGCTGTCGAAGGCTGGGGGTGTATCTGCGAGGGTGTTTGAGACTCTACGGCTGCTCGTCGTTTGGCGGGCGTCCCATGTGTATTGGAAGGGGATTTTCGTTTTGAGGGGCGAGCCGTGGTAGTTTCTGACGTCTTGGGCTTCGGTTTTGCGAGAGGTTTCGCGGGTATCTTGCCAGCGAGAATATCTCGAATTCGATTGTAATCTTTATACTTTTGAGCTGCGTCGTAATGTCAGATATTGACCATTGTACTCGTGGAATGGAGCGACGTACCTAAATGAGAGTTCTGCTTAATATCCTCCCTCCCAGCCTTCATCCCCCCATTCCCAGCCGCAAACTCCCTCTCCCAAACCTTAAGCTCCTGCCTCAACACAACCGACTGCTCCGTCAAAACATTTCGTTCTCCCTCGTCCATAATTCGTATTCGTTGTCCCAGCAGCAGCAGCGCAGTCTTGAAATGTCACTTTCTCAGCCCTAACAACGGGCGGACGCGACCAGAGCGTGTAATGGCTAAATTAGCGCGTCCCGACCGTGCTCTTATCGTTATCGCCCGCCGACCGCCAACATTTATCCCCCATTCCCCATCGATCGCCCCTCCACCCATTCCCCATCTCCATGGACGACGCCGCCGCCAACCCCGCCACGAAGTCACAGGTTCTCCAAACAACACTCATCGAGATCACTGCACGTGCAGGCGCAGACGCAGATCCCAACCATCTCGCGGAAGAGTGCTGCGTAATATGCCTTGACCACCTCACCGATTTGGCCCAGGCATTGCCCTGCCGCCACGCGAGCTTCGACTTCATCTGCCTAGCCAGCTGGCTGCAAGAGCGCAGTTCCTGTCCCCTCTGCAACGCCGAGGTCTCCGAAATCCACTACGCCTTCACAAATGAGTCGAATTACAAAGTCTACCCCGTCACATCCACCACCAAGTCCGCCACCCCCTCGTCGAACCCGCCACTACAGCGCAGCGTCCCACATCGACCATCTCGCCCACGGCGGCAGTACACACATAACCCCACCCCAGCCGCCGACGACGCCCTCGCCCGCCGCAGAGCAGTCTACGCGCAAAACCTTTACTCCCTCCACATAGGCACAAACCGGATCTCGCGCTTCCGCGATTTCACGCCACAATCCCTCTCCGCCTCCCCCAAGCTGCAATCACGGGCGCGGACCTGGATACGGCGGGAGTTGCGTGTTTTCGCTTTCTTACACCCCAAAGACACGGCAGACGGGGAGACAACAGAGGGGAGAACGAGGGGAAGCGGCGATAACGCGGAGTTCCTCTTAGAGTATATCATCGCCATCCTAAAGACGGTGGATGTGCAGGGGGCGGCGGGGCAGGCGGAGGAGCTGCTGAGGGAGTTTTTGGGGAGGGAGCATGCGAGGTTGTTTTTGCATGAGGTTAGGGCGTGGTTAAGGAGTCCGTATGGGAGGGTGGAGGATTGGGATCGGAATGTGCAGTATGCTGTGCCTGTGAAGGTGGGGGAGGGGAGGGGGGATGGAGGGGAAGGTGGTGGTGCGAGGGATGGGAGGAGGGGGAGGAGTGATAGGTATACGCCGTATGGAGGTGGGAGGAGGGGTGTGGAGGAGACTAGACGGAGGTATAATCCGGATTGAATAAATATCGAAATGAATATAAAATGTAATATTTTATTTGACGTATAATTTGAGAAATAAAATGATATATATTAACACACATCTTTCAGTATTTACATGGAAACCTAACTTACATTCTAGCTTTTGGATACAGACAGTAGAACGATGAGTATTATTCTGTAATTATCAGTACCAACCTACCCATTCCCAACCGGTCCTCTGTGTAGAACTGGCCTTAAAATGCTATGACCTTTATAAGTTATATTTTGCCCTATCCCTGGAAATCCGAAATGCTCCAATGGCGCAATGGTAGCGCGCAAGACTTCTACTAATGACTCTAGTCTAGTCACGTAAATCAATCTTGAGGTTGAGGGTTCGAGCCCCTCTTGGAGTGGAATTTTACATTTTTTTGACATTTTTGACATTATTTTTGCTAATTTTATTGTCTACACATACTCACATATAAAAAAAGCCCTCTCCGATTTATTTTTGGTCGCAAAGTCAAAGGAACTCCAGCGTTCACAAACACATTTTTGGCAATTTTCATTACAGTCAAATTAGAGGGTATAATTTTCATTTTACCGATAAATAAATGCCTTAACGTGCATCCCTGCGTCAAGAGACGCACCCCGTGACGAGACAAACTACAGTCACCGACCACTGCTATTAACCGAATCGCAAAACCACCCGCGAAGCCACCGAACGTAGATAATTAATTTGCTCGTAACATATGCAATTTTAAAGCGATAGATGTAAAAAGTCATCCATTGTAATTAGAATTGAAAGCTCTACGAAATAAGCCCATAGTATATAGTATAAAAATTAGTATTCTAGTATTTTGTCTGCCACCCGTCTGCTTGAATGCACGCCTCAATTCTACTCGGCATACTCTTATACAATTTATCGAACAATGACTTGTCTAATGTGTCCCAGCTGTTTGCAAACATGATTCTAGACGCTGTCTTGCATGTTCTGAGTTTGATTTATCCTTTGCAATTTCAGGGAACATCTCACACACCCGGGTTTTCAAGTGCCACCAAATGTGCTCAATTGGGTTGAGGTCGGGTGAGTAGGGCAGCCACCCATAGAGTGTAGTAATCATATGCTCCTCAAGAAAGTCTGTAACCATACCCGCAGTATGGATAGGAGCATTATCTTGCATAAATGAGTAGCTAGAGTCAAGACTCAAAAATAGGGAGGAGTTCTGCTTCTAGAACCTCAAGGTATGAGTTTGCAGTATATCCAAACTTCTTTGACTCAAAGTCACGGTCCATAAGGTATAAATTGCTCCGGCCTTCTGCCCAAAAGGCCCCCCAAACCATGATCTCCATGTTTTTCTTTGTACTGTAGGTTTGGATCATCTCCCGCTGCCACTTCTGAGGTGTGCGGAAACACCACTCGCTCCTGTTACCCCGCCCCCATGTAATGGTGGGTGCACCAGATGTGAGAATCTAGCCACCCAAGAAAGGGATGATTTTACTAAGACAACACACTGTCTTAGGAAACAGAGCCAAAGGGTTGTAGCTTAGACTATTCCACAACGCAACAATCAGGTGTATGATGTGGTGAAGTGGTTTAGACAAGTTGCAACAAATGTTGAGTCTGAGAACTCAGGGGTAAGTCAGAGGTTAGCACCTCACTGACTTTTCAAAAACAGAGAATAACAAGATCAATGCTTGGAAGCTTGGAAAAGACGTGGAGGTATGTGATAGTCGATTTACTGTATTGTCTGCTTGCCCTTTCTTAAGGAAAGGGCAATCCTATTTATGCCAAAGGAGTGTAGTTCTCTCATTTTCCATGACTTTCCATGACTAACCAGGCTTGGTAAATGTATTAGAAATCAAGTGCGACCCACAACTAGCTTGCTAATCATGTAGCGAATGTAAGAGAATCCCATAGAACCATCTCTTGGGTTCCTAGCCTATAGGAAGTGAAAAGGAGGTCCAAGGTCAGAGTACCTATAGACAAATTATGTCATAACTTAACCAATCTTGTGGGTAACTAAGGAGTGATGACGTGTAATGAATCATAGAGGGTTGTAGAGATATGCTATGTGGTAATATCGGCCCAGTAACTAAGGAGCGATGACGTGTAATGAATCATAGATGGTTGTAGCAATCGTTGAGTAGTATTGCTCTTGTTGTTGGTGTGATAAGCCAAAATATGTATAGTGACTTGTAGGTTTGAGGAGAAGATTTCCAAGTTTGCTCTTGAGTTTGATAGCAAACTGAGTGCAACGAATGTCAGTATGACACCCCACTCAACAGAGCACTCATCACTCCACACAACTTGACCCCAATCCTCTGCTGTCCAATTCCTCCATGCTAAACACCATGCAAGCCGTTTAGCTGCATGTATTGGCAGTAGGAAAGGGCGACACTTTGCACGCCAATTGCCTATGCCTGCTTCTTGTAGTATCCTCTTTATAGTTGATGTTGAGCAAGCAACATTACAAGCATCCTTTACTTCTTGGTATGTATCCTTTGGGTTTAGCGTACATGGCAGAGTATAAGGCGTTGCTCTGCTTCTGTATATGACTTTCCCCATGGTGTACGGGGTACGCTCTTGCCTTTGGTGCGTATTGAGTCAACTGCAATTGTATATCGTACGGTGCTTCGGTCAAGGTTTAGGTCGTGTGCAATCTTAGTAGGTGTTGCACCCTCTGACTGCCTCCCAATAATCTGCCCTCATTGGTATGGGCTTAATTGGCCACCAGGCTGTCGATTCCCATCAATTGGAGCCAAAGCCCTCCGAGTTGGTGGCATAATTATGGTTGTTGAACAAGGAGGGGTGGGTTACGCCACGCAATTTATGCGTCAAATTGGAATTCGGTTAATAGCAGTGGTCTAGTACTGTACGTACTAGTACTTAAATTCAATTGATTCTAAATTTGTGAATCCATTGAAAATTCCTGTATTTTTGTGTCAGTGATATTGTGTGACCACTCAGTCCAAACCCTAGCTACTCTGAAAACTACGATCTCGTCATCGCCGTTGCGTCTAATTGGGGATGGAGGGCGTCAATTCGAAGTATAATAGTACCCCTCGACCTACAGCACCACCACGAGCTCTTTGCGCCCTTTAAACAGAGCTGCAGCTTATACTCAAGGTTCTCTCTCTTCTCTCTCTTGCTTCTTCTCTCTCTTGCTCCTTTACTATCTTCGTATGAATCTTCTTCCGTGCATATAACACTTTGATCTGGGTTTCCGAGCCTCACCATTTCAGCCTTGTGGTGACCAGGGAGTGCTGTGTCATGCGACGTCACCATATGTGTTAGTACTTCCAAATTAAGTGATCAAGGATCCCACGTCACTTGTACATCAGATCCGAAAGTTTAATGTTTTAAATTTAGCCGACGATTAGATACATACAGTAAAGCACTGATATAACGATGCATTTGCTGCCAGCAGAATATATCGTTATAATGATAATATCGCTATATTGATTCTTATGTAATCCAACTATCTAACGTACTCTGCACCCGTGACTCTTGATCTAATGCCTCAAGAGCAAATTCTAAATGCTCAAGGCCTCGTAAATAGTCTGATTGAAGAGCCTCTTGTTCTTCAGTAAACTCAATCAGAACCTGTAGTGCTTGACAAGCACTCTTCACAGAATGTAAAGAACGCTCTAATTGCAACTCTTCTTCATCATCATCTTGAGTTTGCTGAAGACCTAAATGCTCATCAATAACCTCCTGTAGGACTTTGTCCTGGCTTAGTATCCCATCTTGTATATCCTCTTCTTCATCGCTTGGGTTTAGAAAGTTAGAGATTGCCATGACGTCGTGAATATTGCCAGCTTGTATAACTTGTTCGTAGAGTTCGTTGATATCTGGAGGAGTAATTGGAATTGGAAGAGTAATTGGAATGCTAACAAGCGTAGATTTTCGAAAACCGTTATAGATTGTATTTGTAACATAATGATTCCAGCTCCGTATAATATAACTTGTTCATAGAGTTCGTTGATATCTGGAGGAGTAACTGGAATTGGAAGAGCAATCAGACTGCAAAGTGTAGATTCATTGATGTAAGTGGATTTTGATCTGAAGTAAAAGCATCGAGCCACTGTCGTCGATAATGGCATTTGAATGATTGAATAATGCCTTGATCAAGGGGCTGGAATCGACTAGTACTATTCGCAGGAAGCTAACAAATACGTATGTTTGTAGGAGGGGGACAAAGCTCAAGAGCAGTGTTATGAGCTGAGAAGTTATCCATTGTAAGAAGAACTTCTTGAGTCGTTCCAATATGTTGATAGCCATTCGCCCATAATTGTTTTATTCATCCAAGCCTTCTAGCTCGCACGCCATTGCCCTCCCATTGATGATATGTTGATGTTTCGAAGTGCACGTGGCTGCTTATATTGTCCAATCATCCAAACAGGCAGACAATCAGTTCCAGAAGCATTAACACAAAATACAAGGCTAATTCAAGTCTTCTCCTTCTTTAATCCAGGAAGTGTTTGTGTTGCAAGCCCTCGAGAGGGCATCATCTTCCAATATAGGCCTGTCTCGTCCATATTATAAATATCCTCCTCTTTGAATTCACCAGCAATAGTTTGTAGAGCCTTCATTTCCTCCTCTGCTGTTTCTGGACAAGAGCCTCCTTCACCGTGTTTTGTATGAACCTTGATGTGATACCGTGCTTTAAATCGATGGAGCCAGCCAGTTAAGAAGTCTGGGCATGGTAGATTATCGTCATTTGGTAGTTGTTGCCAAATCTCTTGAGCCTTTTCTTGTAGTATATCACCACTTGTAAAACCTCCACGTGATTGAATTCGTTGCTGCCATAATAAGGAGTTGCTCTACTTCTGGCCACTGTCCAACTTGTAGTCATGATCCTGTCAGTTGTATAGCTTTGTCTAGATCTTTGAAATGCGAGCTTAAAGACTCAGAAACTGTCAGCTGACTAAGTTTATGGCCATAGTTTTGAGAGAACCATTTGATACATTTATTTTTCAGAAGGCTTCGGGTGTTATTGATGTGCCCAGTTACATAGAGCGCGGCGTTGCTCAATAGTTATTGCAAATCGTTTCGTCATTTTGAGGCCTAAATAGAGCAACGAGAGCAATGTTAACACGGATAAAGCGATATTTAGGAAAGGAAGCTGCGAAATCGTGAGTATCGATATTTGTATGGTGGTGAGGTTCGGACCAGGAAAAAATATTGCAATAATGAAGTTATCACTTAATCGAGAATCATTATATCGGTGCTTTACTGTACACTACTACTATGGACAGCATATAACACATCCCAGTTCTAGAGTGTTGCACGTGACCTTAAGACGCCGATGACAGGATGTCTCTTAGACAGCTTATTCCTTATGATGCAAGTACCTAGTTGGATATGTGTTTCACATCCTGTGGATAGGGCTTGCTTCCACGGCAATTGAATGTCATTCCACGAGATAAAAACTGGGATGCTGTACTATATGGTGGCTGAAGCCAATCAAGAGGAATGAAAATGTTGCTCCATTTGGCATGATTGTGAGGTCATCAATCTTGCAACATGTCCAAAGTTCTATGAGTTTTGCAAGTTGCTCGAAAGGGAACTCTGATTGTCATGATCATACCGAATTACCACTGCAAATGGTCAATAGTGCTAATACAATGACGTATAACTATAATGACGTGTAAAAATTACGTTTTATATCAAGCTGGCCTTTCATCTAGTTTTTCATCATAGCAAGAGTCAGTTTATAAGTACCCTCTTCGTCCCCCAATCTCTTACACCAAACATGCTAATCACGCATCAATACATTCACTACCACACATTACCACACCATCGCCCTCGCATACAACCATAAGTATGAAACTGATTATAACTATATGTATCCTAGGGGTGGCAGTCAAATCAAAGGGAGCACTGTTAGAAGCAATCGAGGGTACCGGAGCACACTGTTACAGCTAAGTGCTAGTGCTATGGCTAGCGCTTAGAGCTGCAACCTCACGTGATGGATAACATTGGATATCTTGGATATTATGTTATCCATGTTATCCACAGGGATCCACGGAATATCAGGTGATGGATAACATTGGATATCATGGATATTATGTTATCCATATTATCCACAGATATCCCTTTGGCATGACACCACTATATAAGTACATAGTATTTCCTTAGATAGGAGCTTCATGCTCAACTCAATATAGTATTCTTTACAATACTGTAACATGTTACTTGGAAAGCCTTTGTGTCTAATCCCCTGCCTCCTCTGTCAAGTCAACCTTACGCAAGAAACCTCTGTGCCTTATATCGTTTAGAACTCAGCGTTACACACACTGGACAGCAGATTGGCTAGCATCCACTTAAGTTCATGTGCTCTTATCGATACTGTGGTGCCGTGCTATAACTACGATCAATGTATTACTCCTTGCAGAGATGCTTGCAGTGGCAAAGGATGTCATGGATCGTATTTCTATTCATGTAATGCTTATCCTACCAGGATTGCATGTAGGTGTACGTGCCTGTAAATAGGAGGCTGCATCTAAAGCTTGAGACGCCAGACTATCAAGGGGTTGAAGAAATAGGCAAAGTACTATAAGACTACGATAGAGCAAGCACGGGCAGATAAAAAATGATATGTGCCAAACATCAAGGAAATAGCATGACAGTCATGTGAATATCTCAAGCACTTGGCTAAAAATTGAAGTTCCAGATTGGCGTTAACCTATACCCGGGGTTTGGCTTTCAAATTTCTGGCGAGCTTCTGGAAGCCCCTTCTTCTCTTAAGAGAAGTACGAACCTGATGCCAATTTCAGCTGTTATTGTAGTTACAATGTATATCTTAACATCTATCTCTGTGTCTATATGCTTTAGGTGTCTCAAATATTTTTTTGCCAAGTCTACAAAGTTTTTATTAAGTATTCCTTAACCATTTCTCCCCAAGGAGACCAGTGAGCGACAAGGAAAAGATTTCGATTGATCATGTTGTTGATCATTTAAATGACGCCACTACTTGCCGTTTCAGCCGTTCCCCCCTGCTTAATCGCGACCACTGGAGTCTCTTCAAATTTTGGAGCGGTTGGGGAAAAGTTCCATGAAGAAAGAACATGGCCACAAGTTTTGAAGACCCTGAGAAAAGAAAATAATGCGCAGAATGTCATGCGTGTGGCGAGAGAGCATGTGGAACATCATCACCACCGTAGGCTGATATGGACAGAGCCAGTCAAGTACAGTTGAACCTGGATATAAGGATGCCCTAGGACCGGGCGTGGCATCCTTATAACGAGGATATCCTTATGTGGAGGTTCACGGAAATCTGAGGAATATATGTAAAAAAAAAAAAATTGTATGCTACTTTGACACCCAGCCATCTAGTAAATGTTGGGTACTCTTTGCGACTTTCTCTTGCGAGATATCCTTGCCAATCTGTTCTAATGCCTTTATTACTGAAATCCGACCTCTATCTTTAGTGAGGAAGCAAATGATTAAAGGCTGTACCATCGGAACAAACGGAATTGTATAGGCTTAAGCAAGGCTTAGCTCATACTCAAGGCTTTGTTCCTAATAAAGAAGAAGTGGCAACGGTTCTTATAAAACTACGCCGGCATATCTATGTCTTCCGGAACCGTCGAGCATGGAAAGATGCATTGAAAGTACAAGCATCTGCTATGGGTATTCAGGTGGTTTCAATGTCCCTCGATATGCCTGTCTTACACGAAGGCGATCGGCCATTTCTTGAACATCTTCAAGCCAAGGCTAAAATCCTTGCAAATCTAGGTCGAGTATCTGATTAAGCAGCACCCTCTCTTCTAGGTCGGTCAACTTCTTAAGTTTGGCAGAGATATCGCGTCGTTGGTCTTGCCTAGTGCATTGGCAATGAAGGGTTGTATGATAATGTGACTTTTAAGTCCCCTCTTATGCTCATAACTATACTAACTATCTATAGGTAATGGAGGGCTGTGAGACTCTTTATGTTTTTGGTGACCTAGCATACACAGCTGCCTTTGGAAGCGCCTCCCCTTTTGAGCATCCGCTTAGGTAATTTGCGCTTCAGGAGGATGAGCAGAAATGGAATGCTGCTTTGTCCTCTGTTCGAATTGAAGTTGAGAGGTCGTTTGGACATGTCTAAATGACATGGACATATATAGCATTTAGGAAGGGGCTATGCACTAGGGTACAGCTAGTTGTAGCTTACTTTATAGCTGCTGTTCTTCTTATAAACATACAAACATGCATCTAACGGCAGACACAGAGGAATCAGTTTGGTTTGACTCCACCTACAGTAGAGTCATATCTTTAATTATAAGGTATGTATATCACCCCTCCTCCCCTTATCTCTATCGCCTCATCCTCCCCCACCCCCCCTTTAATGGCTATGCCTTTAGTCAACCATTATAGTAAGCATTGTTGCCACATTTTGGTCGACAGCGCTAATTAGACTCTAGGTCCTTAAGCTGCCTCTTAATGACTGCATCTAACTCCTCCCTCCCTTCCTCCCTTTGTAGTCTGCCTATCCGACTAGCGATGGTTTTGATGATGCTTATAAGGTGTCTAAGCCCTATAGCAATAGGGTCCTCTAGGTCTAGAGGCATGCTAGGGGCGGCGGATGCAGCGTGCCCTCATTAGCGTTGTAAGACATGACGGCGATGGGTTGTAGGGGGCAGGGTTGTAGAGTTAGACTGTCATACTGACATTTGTTGCACTCAGTTTGCTATCAAACTCAAGAGAAAACTTGGAAATCTTCTCCTCAAACCTACAAGTCACTATACATATTTTGGCTTATCACACTAACAACAAGAGCAATACTACTCAACGATTGCTACAACCATCTATGATTCATTACACGTCATCGCTCCTTAGTTACTGGGCCGATATTACCACATAGCATATCTCTACAACCCTCTATGATTCATTACATGACATCACTCATACTACCACATGACATATCTCTACCAACTAGAGGCCTAGGAGCATGAACAATAGCTCTCAAAGCTCCTACGAACCTCTATGATTCATTACATGTCATCGCTCTTTAGTTACCCACAAGATTGGTTAAGTTATGACATAATTTGTCTATGACATAATTTGTCTATGACATAATTTGTCTATGACATAATTTGTCTATAGGGGTACTCTGACCTTGGACCTCCTTTTACTTCCTATAGGCTACGAACCTAAGAGATGGTTCTATGGGATTCTCTTACGTCGACTACAGTTACCAAGCCTGGTTAGTCATGGAAAGTCTTGGAAAATGAGAGAACTACACTCCTTTAGCATAAATAGGATTGCCCTTTCCTTAAGAAAGGGCAAGCAGACAATACAGTAAATCGACTATCACATACTTCCACGTCTTTTCCAAGCTTCCAAGCATTCATCTTGTTACTCCTTGTTTCTGAAAAGTCAGTGAGGTGCTAACCTCTGACTTATCCCTGAGTTCTCAGACTCAACATTTGTTACAACTTGTCTAAACCACTCCATTACATCATACACCTGATTGCTGCATTGTGGAATAGTCTAAGCTATGACCCTTTGGCTCTGTTTCCTAAGACAGTGTGTTGTCTTAGTAAATTCATCCCTTCCTTGGGTGGCTAGATTCTCATATCTGGTGCACCCACCATTACATAGATGTTCTAGGGTCTAGGGTTGTTAAGGGGGGGCTGCTAGCCTTGCCATCTTTTTCTCTTTAGGAAGTACGAGTCGCTGCTTGTAAGAGCTACATCTTGTCTATCCAAAGTGCAAGAGAAGACTGCCACCATGCTATAGATGCCTTAGTCTTGGCGTTCGCAGCACCTTAGGCATCAAGTCGAGCCTTCTAGACTATAAGACAGGAGTCTTAGACAGCGATCTAGCTTTCTAAGGCATCTGTCATCAAAGACTAGTTATCATGCTCTCTGCTTAGAAGGAGAGCTAGGAACTCTCGCCTATCACAGACCGCCTTGGCTACCACCTAGTAGAGCATTTTATGCTCTTTGCCTTAGGATTCGAAGAGGCAGCAGCTTGTTAGCCACTAGAACATCTTGCCGGTGTAGTGACCAAAGGCAGCTTGCTCTTAGAGGCAAAGCTGTAAGACAACCAAGACATCGTCATCTGTAAGGCAGACAAGCCTCTAGCCTACTAACATACTGCTGCTTTCAGTATTCTTGTCGTTAGTAGTTAGCTAACGCACAGGCTGCTGTATAGAGGGGCTATGGGGGAAAAGGGTTTCATTAGAAAAGGGGTTGGGACAATCAGTAAAGGGCTTGGGGCTAGTGGTGTCTTCGATGGACTAGGCGATAGGCTTAGAAAGAGCCTGGCTTGAATGCTCATCGCGAGCCATTGTGCTTCATAGGCATTGTGGTAGCAGAGGTGGTGCTTGGTAGTGGGGTGTTACGGCTATCAGCAGAGCTATTAGCTGAGTGGGTCACGAGATAGGGCCAACGACACCCTGCAGGATGGAACTGTAAGAAATGTTAGAACTTATACAGTTCCTACAGTTCCTACAGTGCTAAGGGGGTCACACTATAAGACCCTATGACACCCTATACGATGGAACTGTAAGAACTGTTAGAACTCATACAGTTCCTACAGTTCCTACAGTTCCTTTAGGGTGGAACTACAAGAACTGTTAGAACTCGTACAGCTCCTATAGTTCCTTACAGTTCCCTTTGGCATGACGCCACTATATAAGTAGATAGTATTTCCTTAGATAGGAGCTTCATGCTCAACTTAATATAGTATTCTTTATAATACTATAACATGTTACTTAGAAAGCCTTTTGTTATCTGACATTCGTTGCACTCAGTTTGCTATCAAACTCAACAAACTTAGAAATCTCCTCCTCAAACCTACAAGTCACCATACATATCTTGGCTTATCACACCAACAACAAGAGCAATACTACTCAACGATTGCTTCAAACTCTTCTACTACATCTGTTTATGCTACATACATCATGGCATATCATTTGGACACTCATTGAACAAGTAATTAAGAAAATCTCCTCCTTAAGGGGGTGGGCCAATACTACCACATGGCATATTTCTACGAACTAGAGGCCTAGGAACATGAACGATAGGTCTAGAAGCTTCTACAACCCTCTATGATTCATTACACATCATCGCTCCTTAGTTACTGACAAGATTGATTAAGTTATGACATAATTTGTCTATAGGGGTACTCTGACCTGGCTTGGTAACTGTAGTCGACATAAGAGAATCCCATAGAACCATCTCCTAGGTTCCTAGCCTATAGGAAGTGAAAGGAGGTCCTGGTTAGTCATGGAAAGTCTTGGAAAATGAGATAACTACACTCCTTTAGCATAAATAGGGCCCGCCTTCAATTTGGAGGCGAGCTCTCTGCTGACCGAGCCCACGAGCTTCGGGCTGAAAAAGCCGATCGTTTAGCCCAGAAGCTCCAGGCCAAAGAAGCCCGGATAGCCCACCAGGCTATCAACCGGGCCCGCAAACAGCTCCGTAGAGCTGGAATTGAGGCCCGGAAGCAGGAACGCCTCCGGAGAAAGAGGGTGGCATTCTACACTAATGCCAGCCTCCCAATTCCTCTAGAGTGGGAGGATCTAATTCCTGACCCGGAAGCCTCTGAAAGTGAGGGCGAGGAGGAGTATGAGATTGCGGGCGAGTGTGGGAGCGAGCGTGGGAGTCAAAGTGATAATTCAATAGAGTAGGCAGATTATATACCTTTACATACAAATTACTATGGGCTAGTACTTAGTCTCGAAATCGTGAGTTGGCGCAACTTGCTTCCTCTCGTGTGAAGTGGCGCATGTTGCTTACTCGAGTTTGGTCACGACGATTAAGTCTTCCAAGCGCCGGAATCTGTTGAGTAATCAAATGTATGTATTCCTGCCTATGTAACCTATACTGTGATTTACTGATAATCTGTACGGAGGAGGGCTAAATATACCACAGGTAAGAGATTGACCTGTGGATTTGTGTGTGTGTGTGTGCCTCCCCCGTGGAGCACTGGGCGGCATGGGCCAGCCAGCGAGTTCTAGATGCCGGAGAGTGATGTACTCCGTACAGAGGTGTTGTTCAAAAGTTTTGTTGGTGGATCCGGCCAGGGCCCCCTGCGTAGGCTGGCTTGGCAATTCTGGCCGAAGTACCGATTCTCATACGACGCGATGACTCGAGAATGAGAGTGATGAATTCTGTAGAATAAAGAGTATAATAGCTACCTAATTGACTATATAAATCTATACTAAATGCCTAGTACTCCGTGTGCATACCATTTGCAGCAATTACTGCTGCCATACGGGTAGGCATACTGTTAATGAGAGCATCAAGCTCTGTGTGCCCAACTTGATCCCATGCGTCTGAAACAGCCACACGGAGCTGATCGTAGGACATGTGCTCTAGATATACCCGTTCAATCTTGAGATCCGGTGAGTACGGGGGCCATTCAATAGGGTAAATGCCACGGCTTCTCAACTCCTTAATCGTAGCACCTGCTCGGTGACCTAGAGCTCTATCTTGCATTAATGTAAGGCCTAGATACATACGTAGCCAGCCGTGAATCAGAGGGATAGTATGAAGCCATATAGGTCTTAGCTCCAATCTTCCCAAATTCCTTCTCCTAGAAGAGCGTAGGACCCTTCCCGAGAGCACCTTAGAAACAGCCCTAGAACATCCAACCTCTAGAGATATATAAGTAAATACCATAGTAAATAGGGGGTTTTCTAACTTCCTCCGTTGTACTCTGTCTACAACACACCTATCATCCTACGTTTCCCCTGCTTTCCAGGTTACCCACGTACGAGTATGACGCCTACCGGTCAACCACGTCTCGTCGGTCTAAAGGATTCTGTCCTAGTCATTCCGTATCCAGCTTCTATAGGTAATGGCCCACTCAAGTCGCTTTCGTCGATTTATCTCTGAAATAATTGGCTTTCGCATAGCAACCCCTAGATCTTATTAGTATTTATAGTAGTAGATAGATGTGAATACTCGCTTCTATTATACCCTCTTACTAAGAGAGCCCGGGTAAGTACAAGCTGCGAGCATGGAATTTCTAAAAGCTCTATAACCTTCGTATATGGCATACGCCTATTCTGACGAGAAGAGCTTATAAACTCAATAACCTTGTCAACTTGATTGTCGGATAGGATAAGTGGCCTACCCGACCTCTTTTTTGGAGTTGGAGGCTTATGGCAGGCATACCGTGCCTGCTGCTCTGCACAGCCTAGGTTCTCTGCTATTTGCTGAACTCCCAATTTAGAGAGCGAAGGACAGAGCACCGGAGCCGCTCATCGCGAGTAAGGTGATGATGCATTGTAGTTATAGAAAGAGTATGAATTTCCTACATACAAAATACTATAGGAAGAATTTCAACGCGTTCAAAAGATACAAACAAGCCTACGCGTGCGTACCCATGTCCCAACCCCTGCCTTACCCCTGCCATCTCCGGATCCAATGACAAAACTAACACCTCCGTATGTGTGAGCTGTTTACTTTTACTTGGGACTCTTGTGTGGTGGTGGTTGATTGAACGAAGGGCTACGAAGAAGTGGAGAGCTTGGATGGGGCATGTGAGTGCGAGGTAGGTCAGTACGACGGTTTGCCAGCCCGGCTTCCGCTATAATCCTGTCATTCTAGGGGCTGTGTTATACCGAGTGTATGCATGAAGCAAGAAGTCCAGAATTGAGGCTGAGCAAGTTGAAGCGTTTGCATTGTAACAACCCCTTCATCAACTGGGGTATTAAAATCTCGATCTGACGCACACGAAACTCGGCCACTGCGGATCTCATGTATTTTCGCAGGGCGGTACGTACCCGCCGGACAGGGGAACTGCAGGAACAGTGGACCTTCCCCATTCTTCGCACGGCGAGAGATATGGAGAAGGGCGGAGAAGGGCGGAGAAGGGCGGAGAAGGGCGGAGAAGGGCGGAGTCGGCAGCCAATGGACGACGAGGTAAACAGGCAATCGTGGCTGGAAGGGGTTAGAAGGGGATTTGCTGTCATTTCGCTTAATTGTTGTGCTAGGGAGGACGCGGTGTTGGTGTGGTTATGGTGGTGTATCTGTGGTGTATCTTTTGTGTATCTTTTGTGAGGGTGAGGAAGGGGGAGGGTGAAACAGAACATTCCTGAGACGTGTCACTTGTACACTTATGCTAGGGAGACCAGCTAAGGGGTACAAGATGGTCTACTTGCCGTCAACTCGCCGTCAACTTGCCGTCAACAGAAAGGATAGGCACAGGGCGAGACACAAGTGGGCGCTAGCGCAGACCCGTCCCAAGACAAACTTGTACTGTACTGGCCTGTACTGTACCAGCCTGTACTGTACCAGCCTGTACTGCATGTCTAGTTATGTATGTACTTAGAGTTACTGTGCATTTGCTCTTGTGATGCGGGTACCTCCCTCCTGTCGATTACTGTATTTTTACTGTACTGCTACTGGCTTTTTTGCGCCTTGACTTGCTAATGCCTGCTAACTACTGCTAATTCCTGCTAATTCCTGCTAATTCCTGCTAATTCCTGCTAATTCCTCCTAATCCCCCCCTCTCTCCCTCCCGCGTCTCCCTGTGACTGTGCCTGTGCACAGGCACAGGCACAGGCACAGGCACAGGCACAGGCACAGGCACAGGCACAGGCACAGGCACAGCCACTCCCCGCCGTACCTGATCAAAGTACCACCACCACTCCTAGACCCTACTTCCACCCCCCCTGCCTTTGCGGTCTATGAACAACTCACACACCCACTCTTCGTCTGTCTGTGTTGGCGTGTGTGCCTCTTCTCTCCTCTCTCTCTTCATCACGAAACACGACCAACATCGACGACATTCACCTTCCTTCATCCATCATAACACTCCCTCGTCTGTCCATCCAACTTGATCACCCTGTGTGGTCCACGACATTCGCTTTATACCCCGTCGTCGACACTTGTCCATTCTTCCCACCGCCCATTCATTCCTCGGGTCCTCGGTTCATTTCGACATCACCGGAAACGAAACAACAGATCTGACAGATCTGACCACAAAAACAAATCACGAGCGGCATCGATCCCATCGAAGCCGCATCTCTATTACCCACCGACTGGTATTTTCAGAAAGGGAACGAAGCAAGGACAAAGAAACGTCCTCTGTCAAAAGGGTCTAGCGTCATTAGGGTGGTCGACGTCCATCTCGACATCAAAACAACCACAGTGCTGATTTTCCCGTCATCTTCGAGGCCGCGGCCAACATATCCATCATGCTCTTCTCATCAGTTCTCGCTGCCGCCGTCGCGCTACTCGCCCCGGCGCTCACAGAGGCGTACGGCATTAAAAAGAACGACTGCTACGATACTCTAGAAGGATTTGTACATGGCTTCAACGAACAGTGGCAGGCGGCGTCGGCATGCTCGACTCATTGTGTGCCGTTAGGTAAGCCGGTAATGGCAATCAACGGCTCCGATTGTTGGTGTGCCGATACATTACCTCCGAAGAAGCACAAGGTGGACCTCTCGCTGTGCTCAATGAAATGCCCTGGCTATGGAACCGATATGTGTATGTGACTTGCCTGGATATTGATGATATCATGCTGACATCAAACAGGCGGATCAGAAAATGGGGCTTATTTCTCCACATGGAACGACGGCCTTGCTGAGACTATCAAGAATGCTGATTCGGTGGCTGATAATGCTCCTTCATCTAAAACATCACAGGCAGCCGAGACCACAGCAAACAGCCCTTCTGTGGTTACAAATTTTGTCGGAGGTGAGTTCCTTCTGCCCTCCTAATTGCCTGTCTTTGCTCACACGTCTAGGCCAAACTGTCATCGTAACCCGGTCACCCGAAGCCAGTAAAGACACCGGCAGCTCAGGCCCAAACGTAGCCGGAATCGCCGCAGGCGTCGTTGTCGGCGTGGTCGCCATCGCCGCGGCAATCGGAGGGATGTGGTTCTTCCTGCGCGCCAGGAACCGCCGCGAGCTAGAGGACGCACACAGGCGCCAGGCGGCCATCAACGCCTTCGTCAAGTCACCGAGTGACGCGCCCGCATTCGACACGAGACTCGAGCCAGCTATCATGCGTAGGATGAGCGCCGGCAGCATCGCGGACAACCAGGACTACTCGAGGAGAATCCTCAAGGTATGTGCAGTGCAACTCCTCAGTCAGCTATTTATTCGTGGACAACGTGCTAATCATGTGCTTGCTGCAGGTCACGAACGCATAAATCCGCACCACTGCAGGGCAGTGGCAGGGCCAAGCGCTTCGAACTCACGACAATGACTTTGTATTTCTCTTGTAATCGCATGCGGCCGTCCTTATTCCCAATCGTCCCGCCGCCCCCGTCGAAGCCCTGCATATATCGGACAATATCCAGTTTTCTCGATTCCGATAATAGTTGTGCTTGGCCGATCTCGAATCTCCGGCGCAACATCTTCTCATATCCGTCACAATTGTCACACCGACTCCCTTCACTCTCTATCCGCCTTTTCTCCTGATTCTTTCGCACCCGCCATCACTCCTTTGGCGCGGCTCGGACGGACAGGGATATGCACAGCACGGCTCGGCGTCCTGAGGCCATACATACTATGGGACATACCTTCTCCCACACCACCACACTCTTTGACGAATGACACTTCGAGGCTACCTATTGCAAACTGCCAACAACACCCCCTCCTCCACCTACCTCCCACAATATAGGTTGGTTTGTTGGCTGCGGGTGTCACCCGTCGGTGATTGGATGGATTGTGATTGTTGGAGTATTTTCGAAACGGGGGGGTGGCAAGGGCATGAGGGCATCTAGGTCTTGAAACTTTTTTTTATACTTTTTGTTTTTCCTTTTCAGGGGTCGGCGTATTGGATTAAGGGGCTGGGTGTGGTGTGTTGCGTGGGAGTTCTGAGAGTGAATGCCTGTTGGGCTGAAATGGGAGGAGGGTGCAAAGATAGGATTGACAGAGGAAGTTAAAGGTTAGTAGTGTGAGAGGGTAGATATGGAGAGAAATGAATGAAGATTTCAACAACTCTTTATATTAGGAGTGGACTTGCGTGTATTGTGAGTGACCTGATGTGGTTTAAGGATCGTGTGTCACTTACAATAGAGCGATTCAGCAGTGTCGACAGCGTCGGCTTGACACTGCCTGATCCGGTGATGCCTGTTACGATTATAGCTTACAGCTTGTTACGGTTGTTACGGTTGTTACGGGTGCAGCCTTAGCCACCAAGGCTACAACCGCTAAGCGGACAACTGTATATTATGAGGA